GCGGCAGGCAGGCAGGCCTTTTCTCTGCACTCCTCGGAGTGGGGGGCGAGCGCGCGCGGGGAGCGGCTCTAGGGAGGAATGCGACACAATGGCCGCGCCGTCACGCAGGCCGTCAGCGAGCGTCAGCCAGCGTCAGCGCCTCATATTTCTAGTATCTTTTGTGTCGGAGCACGGCGGAAGTGCAACGCGCGACGCGCGACGCTCTCGTACTAATCCCTCGGAGTACCCCCGAGTACCCCCGGGTCGCTACGGCCGCAGCTGCATGCAGCTGCAGGTGGCCACCGCAGCGCTCCACAGGTGTGCGCGCGCGGCCCCGAGGACTAATTGGATCGACGTGCGATCCCGGGCCCGGGGTGATTAACTCAAATAATTAAGAAGAGGCGAGTGAGACCAGCGAGACAGTGAGGGGCATCGTCGCCGCTTCCCGAAATATTGCGTTGCACAGTTCTCTGAAAGGGGTTCAGTCCGCTCGGCCAATCTGTTTCCGCTTCGCGATTTTTGTCCGAATAGACCACTCTAGTGAGCCGGGAGGAACAGAGCGAATCAGAATTGACAGGAAATAAATACTGAAAACCTCTCATATGTCAATCTCGAAAAACTGTTTTTGGTAAGAAAATGTTGATAAAAACTCAAGGCCATGTCACTAAAGGGTTACAATAGGGTATTCCAATGGAGCGCGGAGTGGAAGCAAGAAGAACAAAAACGGAACGTGGAAAGGCGCCCGCGCCATCCCCCTCTCCTCTACTAGACGGAGTGGGGGAGCGCCCGGGGTGGAGTGGGGGGCAGGCGGGGAGGAGTGCGGGCGCCTTTCCAACTTCCATTTTTGTTCTTCTTGCTTCCGCTTCACGCTCCATTGGAATACCCTATTTGATGTGCAAACTGTTTTTGAGTTCTGTTTCCGGAAATGTTTGATTCTTTGTGTCCTTCTCGACTCGCTATAATGATCTATTACATCCAATGAGTTGGAGGTGACATCATAGAGTACCAAAAGAGGTCGATGTTGCCACTGCCTTTAATTACACCTTGACCGCGCGGTGTAAGGCGCCTGAGGGCTTTTTTAGCCCGCCCATCTACTTTGAATAACTTGGAGACATTGCCGCCGTACGAGACGGTCGAGGAAGTGGCGGCGGACCTCTCTCCACAAACGATGTATCGGGTGTATATATTGTGCCGTGGAGCGTGGCGAGTCATCAGCGAGAGCGAAGTAGAGGCGCAAAATCTGAAATGATGGGTGATGGGTGACGGGTTCCAAGTTTCATTGGAGGGCCACCTTTAGATCCACGTCCAACCCTTGACATGGCTCAAGTTACTCATGTCGGCAATGAGAAGTACCAAAAAGGTGACAACGGAACGGGGCCGGGCCGGGGCCGCGCGGTGGATCGAGCGGGGGAAGGGGCGAGGACGTTTTAACCTATCTAGCGCAAGTTACGGATGGCCACCACCTTTTACGAAAGCGAAACGTGTAAACGGTATAACTTGCCAACCTGCCCTTTTGTATGCTCACTGTAATTTCTACTCTCCTTGCAGACTTACGACGAGTTTGTGGGCGCGGTGGGGCGCGAGGCGCAGCCGGTGTCGGAGCTGGCGGGGCAGACGTTCGACGCGGTGTGGGCGCTGGGGCTGGCGCTGCGCAACGCCCAGCGCGTGTGGAGCACCTCGCTGCGCTCGCCGGCGCTGCACGACTTCAGCTACCACCGCAACGACATGGCGAGCGAGTTCCTGCGCCAGATCGCGCGGCTCAACTTCACCGGCGTCTCGGTGAGCAGCGAGCTAGCGGAGCTAGCCGTGGAGATGAGACTTACTTGTTAGTTCTTGTTGCGCGGAAAACCCTGCCTGTTCCCGTCGTGCAGGGCTGGCGCGTGAGAGTACATGTCGAAAAGATTTTTGTTTTACTGAATGTTTTTTGTCTCTGTCGTTCTCTCTAGGGGCCCGTGTCCTTCCGGCAGGCGGACCGCATCGGGATCTCGCTGATATCACAAGTGCAAGGTATAGGGAAAATCTGATCTGTGCTGTCGTGTTCATTTATTCAAGTTGAACACTATGAATAATAAAGTTGTGGCGTGCAGGCGGCGTGGCGCTGCCCGTGGCGCTGTTCCACCCGGCGCGCGGCGCGCTCGAGTGGCTGGGCGGCGGCGACGCGCCCGCGGTGCGCTGGGCCGGCGGCCACACGCCCGTCTCGCGCCGCGTCTGCGTGCTGCGCGTCATCACCGTCAGCTCGTACGCCTTCCTGGCCATCACGTGCCTCGCCGCCCTGGGCATGCTCGTCGCCGTGCTCTTCCTCGCATTCAACCTGCACTACCGCCGCCTCAAGTGAGTGTGGGTGTGGAAAGGGGTGGGGGTGGGGACGGGCGTGACCCCGCCAAACCTCCTCGCATGTGTGTCTCCCACGCTGTGGCGATAAGCCCCTGGTGGGATAAGAGAGGGGCTGGCTGGCTCGGACTGCACATGGGACCTGGACCCACACGGCTGGCCCCGCCGGCGGTATGGAGAGATAGCGGGGCGCGGGGGAGGTCAACTTCAAGGGGAGAGGGGCGGCCAGGAACAGCGACAAAAAGCCGTGCGGCACCCCTCTGCTGCTGGCTGCTGGCTCCATTCACTCGCACGCCCCCACCCTACCATACACGTGCCTCTCTCTTCCTCTATCTCCCTCCCTCCCCCTTCCTCTCTCTCTTTCTCGCTTCCTTTCTCTCACACCACACACTTTTCCGCCCTACTATACTGTGGCCGGTTTCAGTATCAGCTGGCGTGTCTCTCCCCCCCACCCCCACCCTCTTCTATCTCTTTCTATTTCCCTCGGGACCGCCCCCGGGGCCGGGCCGGGACCATCTCGGGCTCACCGAGGAAAGCAAGATCCACACATCGAGATTCGACGGCGGCGCGGCGAGCCGGAGCAAAGGGTCACAGGTGGCAGGTACATATCGTTGTTACTGCCGACCGGGTAAGACTCGGCGGCCGGCGAGGGTCCGGTGCGCGGAATAGTAATGAGCATAGCGTTACTCCCAGGCGCGGCGGCGGGGCGACCAGCCGCGGGGGGTGAGTCAGAGAGCCCGCGCCGCAGGTGCAGCCGAGGAGCAGATGCTCCCAAGTGCAGACTCCCACAGCGCAGCCAGCGCAGCCAGCGCCGCCAGGTCATCGCGAGCGACGTAGCAGCGCCAAACTTTTTCCCGTCGAGCTCTAGTCTGCTGGAGGAGAATCCATGACCTGAATGCCGGCGGCGAGCGTCGGCGGCAGCAATCGGAAATGGGCTGCTGCACCTCGGGATGAGTTTTACACGCAAACTTCGCCGCCTCTTCAGCTGTTGCCGTCGGGGGGTGG